GGGCTCTGAATTTGCCACCGCGTAACAATCTGTTAGCCTCACGTAATTTCCCCCTACGTCTTCGTTGTAGGCGAAGCGTTTCAGCTAAGGCCCGACTTTTTTAGGCCCTGTCCTTAGCTGTTGATGACCTTGATAATGTCCTCACGATATTCAACTATCGACTGAGTAGAGCAAGGTAAATTTTAGTTGTTGCACCATTGTAACAAAAAATGATCAAACTGTGCTGATTTGGTCTTGTACCCATGAGGTACGTCAGGAAAGCATGTGGGGTTTTGGCCTCGAGATTCTGCACCTTCCGCATACCAATTGACCGCCTAACAAACCACGTCAGTCGGCCTGGCCACTGCTGCGCTCAGCAACTTCCTACGTGACGACAAGATGTACGTGCCAGACGTTTATGTTGACGAAGTCGACCCCCTCGGCAACATCGTCGATGGCCAGTAACGCAAAGTGGCAGAAAAGGACAAGAACGTGTTGTTCAGCTTGCCAAGGTTGACATTACGGCGGCTCGGCCGAACAGCCCGCAAACGAATCCCAACGGCCACTGCGACAAGAGACTTATACTGTAGGTATTTCGCAAAGGAAGGTGCTGTGCCATGGCAACAGAAGCGCGCTGGCTTGAAAGCCTAAATAGTTCTGCCGTAGCGGCCAAAGTGGGTTGACCGAGTACCGCCACAAGCCTCAACCAAGTGGAAGGCTGAAGTCTGCTCCTGTTACTGTGTGGTCATGACGAAAAACACTAAATATACCATGGAGGTAAGCAGCTTTTGGAGGCGACACGCCCGAGGGTGACCAAAACAGTTGTGGGTTTGTTCATCGTTGGGGGCGTATTCCTCCGCACTTCTCGCTTCACCTCTGGTGGAGTCATGTCACCTCCAGGTGCTTCCTACCCTTATGAAACATACAAGCAAACCAAATTCAAAACCAAAGGTTGCTAGAGGCAATTAGGTTTTTCAGATTCTTGGGAAATAAGTAGTGTATTGGATACAGAAGAAGCGTGATGGTGAGAGACTCAAATATTATGGCTGAAATCGACTCCTCACTAAAATTAGATCTCAGAAAAATTAAAATATTTATTTCGTGATTGAAACGTACATACCTTTAGAGAAAACCAGATAACGTCCTAAACGCCCATACACATATCTTAATTTACCACCAAAAGAAATTTGGCAGAGACACTTAAGATTACTTACGTGTAGGAATGCGAAAGCATCCTTACACGGCAGCGCATTCCTACAAGCAGCGTGCAACGTCTTCCTATCGCACACGGTGCTGCGGCGATGACATCACGCTCCCCCACTGCGCAGGCGCGGCGAACCTTGCCGGTTTCACGACTGCTTCCGTGACGAAGCATTGCATTGCTGTGCTTTTCTCTGTGCTTTACTTCTGAAGCGCGGCAGCTCTGAGCTTGAGCGCACCCGCCGGCTTCCGTGACGACGCATCTGCGTTGCTTTGATTTTCTTTGTGTTTTCTTTCCGAGCCGCGTCCACTTTGAGCTCAAACAGCCGCGCCGACTTCCGCGACAAAGCATCTGATATGACACGTTGCACCCAATTTAGGTGCCGATTTTCGCGGTTACGGGTTTTTAGGTGTCGTTTTTGCGGCTACAGATGCCACCGACTCCGCTCCATAAAGCAGTTAATGCGGTCGCATTAAAAAAAAAAAAAAAACAACACAAAAAAAAACAAAAAAAACAGACAGTTGAGCGTTCTGTGGGGACCAGCCTTTTTTTAAATGCAGTTCTAGAGGTTAAAAAAAAAAGTACAGACTTAGATGTAGTAAGACATATCAGGAAGGGACCCCCGAAATGCTATCTCCAGAACATGAAGAACCCTTGACATTTTCTGGTTTATTTTTCCCCCACCGTTTTTTTTTTTCTTGTTTCCATATTTCTCAAATTGCGTCGGGTACGCGAAGATTGGTGCTTTTTCATCGAGGCGATCGGGGCGGGGGGGGGGGGGGGGGGGGGGGGAACCGAAGGCATCTGCTTTCTAACTAAGTCCTAGGATGGAACGCGCGCAATGCTGCATGGAGAAATTTAGAGCACAAGGTTATATTTTGTCTCCTCTTTAATGTACAAAGCAATAGACAACCCCCGCCGTGTTTGCTACAATCAAATAATTTGATTTCCATTCTCACACTGATGTTTATCGATGGAAAAAGCCGCGCTCGGGAGAAGCGGGTCCGTGACCGCCCCTGCGAAGGATGCAGTCGAAAACACACACGCGAATGTCGAAGACAACTGCGCTTTCTCCGCGTGACTGCGTTATATAGGGCCACCGCAGCTGCAGGAGCGGTGACGCATGAGCGGCGTCGCGAAGGAACTTTGGCAGACTACGCGTCCTTCCCAATGTTTCATATTCGCACCGCAATAGCGTTTTGCCGCAACAACGAAGTCGTAACCGCGAAATCGCAAGTAAAATAGCACCATATGAATAAGCCCTTAGAACCAAAATAAACAAAGCCGTTGAATTCTAGTGAATACTCCCTATAAAAGCTCGCTGCGCACACGAGCGACACCACGGGGGTCAACGAACGCTCCCTGTAGAGTGTATTCAGTAATTGCTACAGCTGTAAGCACCGTTTGGCGCATGCTAACATCGACCTTCCATAACGTTCCTTCCACGCAACCGAAGTTACGGCTTTCGACGAATGATACCCACAGCTGGAGCTCGTCCTTCAGCTGTAGGAATCATGTAGAGTTGAGATTGGGCCCGAATTTTAGGGCACGACCTGATCCCGCCCGAGTCCGACTATTTATGATTTTTGAGCGTCGGCCCGAGCCCAACCCGACCGGTAGGTATTTCGGCCGGAGCCCCGCCCGAGCCCGACTTTTATTTTTAACATACGTCTGAGCCGAACCCGACCTGAGTCCACACTTTTAACAGAAAATGTGTTTTACTCTGGATCCTAGCCACGCTGCGCTATGCCGCGATAACTATGCTTGACGTGGGCGCGTAAGGGAACTTTTATTTTGATCTCCCTTCAATCGCTAAGATCCTTCGTTAGTTCGCAGTGATCGACTGCCTGCGTGTCCCGTAGAAATATGAACACAGGTTTTTTTTTATCGAGGCACGCGACACTAACACATTCGGGAGTTGTAGTATACCATTTTCTGGGGTTCGAAAACGACAACAGATAACAATACGCTGGCCTTGCTGTGAACAATTTTTTTTTCTTCTATCGGGTATCCTTTTCGAATTAGCAAGAGGCAATCTACGAAAAGTCCCTATATTCTGTTGCAGCGGCCCTTGTGTAAAAACTAATGCTTGCGGCGCGTCACTTGGGTCAGCATTTTCTACGTATTACCTTGCACTTGCTTTTCGCTGCTTTTTGCATGTTCTAAGATGTTATGGAGGATTACGCTGTATCTAAATTTGCTTTGCCAGGTTTGCCAAGATCGTGTTGTCGACTCCCGACACCTCAATCAGGGCCCGACCCGAGTCAGACGAATCTGGAAAGAAATAGGCCCGTACCCGACCCGAACTCCAACAGGGCGTTCATATATTGGCCCGAGCCGGACCCGATAGTCGGGTCGTGTTCGGGTTTTTGGGCTTGTCCGAGCCCGCACAGATCTCTCATGAGCATTACTCACAATTAGGGTTGTCACCTTCCCGGTTTTTGACTGGCACAGCCGGTTTTATGCGATAAATGGGCGATCACCGATCTGTATATAGAACCGGCCGTCACTTGCCAGTTTTTTTAACTATCCAAGAGCATTTTTTTAGAGGGGAGGGGGGGGGGGGGGCGTTTATAAATATATTCTTGACCATCAACGTTATCTGGTATATAGGCGTATGCATTTTATATTCTAAAGCAAATTTTATATATAATGTCCCGGTCCCGGGAATTGTTTATTTAGCAGCAAATAAGACATCATATTTGTAAAAATCTCGAGCGTTTACTATTCACTGTAGCACGCAGAGAGTCTGCGATTTATAGAAGGAGATGAGAGAACGGGCGAGCGAGACATCACTTTAAATCCGAGGACACACTTCTTTTGTAATTCTTGACTCGAGAGGTATGAAAACATGCTCGCGTTACACGAATTCACGAGAGACCATAAGTTTTCAAGAAAGAGGCTCGTGCCGGTTCTCGTGGTGTATACCGGCGTTCACTAATACCCCATTCACACGGTCATAGAGGTACCTTTAGCTAAGGGAACTTCATTCTCCGCGGCGAATCACTTCACTATCCTCCGCGCGTGGCGTTTGCTCGAGACCGAAGAGCGCGGGCTAATTCGTTGATTACAAAGGGACCTATGTTGAAGGTACCTTTATGCTGATCCTGTGAATCGGGTATAAGGAAACCCCCAGAACCAGGAATTGTTAAAAATAATAGATTTACGCTCGACATTTCCACTCTTAGCATAACACACTGTCTTAGAGCCATTTTTATTCGAAGCGTTATTTAATACGCACTCATTTTTATGTAAACTGCAATAATCGATTCTCCACCAGCTGCAAAGGATGAATAGCGGTGAGATATTTGTTATTGGCGGTTTTATTTTGAGTAAATCATATCCATTAATGTACGTTATTGAGTTCAGTGTTGCGTACATATACTTACATGCGCTATGATGCATTATTAGACCTATCTCATTCATTTGACCTCGGGAAGCTCGTGTCAAAATAAATTGAATCTGTGTATCAGCTAAGACTGTCAACACTGGGTGTTTCGTTTTACTAGTTCAATCTAACATAATTACCCCCCCCCCCCCCCCAAACAACAAAAAAAAAGGCCGCTTTTTTATTTTAATAAAGGTGCCAACCCTACCCACAGTCAGAACTCATGATTACACAAGAGTTTCCTACCCACATGGCTTGCAGGTGACCTCCTCGAACCGGGAAAAACAAAATCGCTCGTGCCGAATATACGCTACGGAAGTGTTCTTCACAATAGCCGCCATAGTGACGTCATTGCAAGCCACGTATTACGTTCTCCTACCAGGCGATAGGCAACGAGGGAACACCGTTAATTTACTGGATTTCTCTACGTACGCTCCTCGTAGTTGAAGGCGTTGTCTCCGCCTACGTGATTCTTGGTGTTCACGTTCCTCCGCCGCTCCTTCTCGTTGAGCCACGGCTGCTCGTCCTCCTCATCGTGATCCTCGTCCAAATGAGCGAGTCTCCTCGCTGAGACCGCCGTCACGACCAGGGCGCCCATCAGCAAGACAAGTGCCAGGGCTGTTGACGACGAACTCCTCATGGTTATGCCTGGTCTCGGCCGTGAACTCTGCCGTACACTCCGCCGAGGATCAAAGAAGAGGCACCGCTCGTTCGGGTTCCACTGACAGGCTCTGAATCGTGAGCTCGCTCTCACGTGCTGAGGCGATGGCTATAGCAGTGGGGTTGACGTTATTCCACGGTTCAAAGCGGTCTAAAACTCCAAATGCATAGATACATACAATACATATTACGTACAGGCATACATACAATACATACAATACACAGAGAATACACACATACATGCAAGCATAGATACGACCCTTACTTTTCATGGACACGCCGATCCTTGGCTAACCTCCTATTTTGGTATGCGCCAACCAAGGAGGATAGAAGGGTAGGAGAGGGCATGACGCCAGCCGCGTAGCCTCCACAAGCCATGCTCCCTTGACGCCTCGCCTCTTTCTCATTTTGCTCCTTACTCTCCTCACTTATCAAGCCAACGTGACCACATTACGTGACCGTAGCTAGCCTTCGTCTAGATATGGGGTACTAGAATACACCACAGTCTAGACTTCGATCTGATAAAACTTACCGGACGGAGCGCGCGCAAGCCTCCAAGGAATCCTTCTACAATCAACCATCCATCTCACACGTGAGATGTCACGCGCACCAATTGCCAGAGAGATCTACGTCACGTTGGCCACAACATCATTTAAACTTTTTATGACTAGGCCGCACCAATATTGCAACGTGCCCCCTCCTAGTACTTCTAACCTCCTTGGCGCCAACACACGACCGGCTTTATTAGCGGCGAGATGTTTCGGTGACGCCCTCGTTCGGCTACCTTTCGTGACGTCATTACCTTGTGAACAACAAACTCGATGGTGTTTGTAATGGGCATGGCGGAAACCTGAAATCATAGCGCTCTCAAAGCAACATTGTCAAAATTGAAGTTCTTTCATTCCTCTTATTTCCGTCGATGAGACGTCTTTTGCTGACTTCATAGTCAGCATTCGACCAATTGTGGTGGGCCGACCACAGCGACGCCTTCGATCGCTCACGTCGCCAATAGGGGCGACAAGGTCACCCGAGGCAGTGCGAGCACGCCGCATTTGCTTTTGCTTATTTAGTACTTTCTCTAGTTCGCTGATTCTCCACCGCGTTTACTGGCGCCGTCACTCACCACACTAGCAGACGCTTTCCCGTGTGCATCTATATGTGTCTCCGCTCCCCGACCGGCGACGTTTTGACGATAATCGGCTGTATTTCAAGGACTTTTCTCGTCGTTATTGAGAATGTACGTTCGGTAAAGAGCTACAAGCTGATCTAGGTCGCATTCTTCTTTGGTCAAAAGATAACAAACTTCTCTTAAACTTAAACCAGATGCGCTACCATGCACATCACTGCCTCGCGCCAACCTTCGACCCCTCCAACACTTTTCCTGAACCGAGTGGAGATCCCAAGAACAACGTATATCCATCTCCTAGGCAGTGTTGTACGGAACGGCGTTCCAGGAACGGCGTTCTTGGAACGTATTCCTTTTAGAAGGAACGAAGGAACGCCGCCGCTCCATTTTTCATTGGTGGAACTGTAACGGGAACGCGTTACATTTTTACTGGAACGGAAAATGGAACGGCGTTCCTTTTTTTCGTCCAGTGGTGTATTTTTTTTTATTTCTAAGAAGGAAAACTGAAATTATAAAAGTATAAAAACAATATCTTTACGAAGAGCTTGATCTCGTTAACTTCTTGGTTTCTTATCTTGGGGTTTATTTTGGGGGGTCTTCGCTTGGTAACAGTCGGGTGCAGGAGAGCTAGTGGACATCGATTCTGTTTTCAATGTCCGAGACTGCGGTACAAAAAGCAAAACTTTTAGACGAAGAAAACTACACAGAAAGAGGGAAGTTACAAACTCAGCTGCTTTCTTTGCCTCCACGAATCCTCACACACTCAGAAATCTAAGGCCGACTACAGCCATCACTGAACTTCCGGGAAGAGACATACAGTTACAACAAAAGAACAGGTTACGAGACATCGAACACACCCCTGTATCCCGAACATTGGCCACTTAAGACACACAAAAACTAACCTTCATTCATCCTACCCGTGTCCCCACCTTTAAACTGAACAACAAATCCCACCATTACAAAGAAGGACTTCTAGCTTTCAAGACTGATTTTCCAAAAGCCCTACCCTCTTCTTCACTTGCTCGTCTTCCGGACAGCAACACCGAGAAGAAACTATTATTAAAGAAGAACTGAAACAGTTGTGTATTTAAGGAAAATACCGAAATTGTCATTTTGCCTCCAGGATCACTAATATCGAAATTATTTTTCAAGTTGGTGCACGAAGGCTGCAGAAATTAACTTTCAAAATACCGCTCAAGCCCCTCCTTCCCGGGACGTGACATCATATTAGGAGTTTTCGGGATCTCCACTCTTGCTCATCTTCTGCGCCTGTCAAAGACATGCATGCGCACTCTTGCTCTTTTCACAAAAGGTCAAAAATAGATGTCACGACTTGTGTCAATGCAGGTGAATCTGCGATCTGGCATACTTGCAATTGCACGCGCTGCCCACACCAGAGGCACGCGCTTGGTGACACAAAGAGATATAAAGCTGCAGTACAAGTCCCCTGTTGAGGCGGACTTTATAAACATACCCACACTCATATTATTATTTTTTATTGTAAAGCAGAGCTCTTAGGCACCCGTCTCCAGCTTGAGCGGCGTCGCCGTCGCCGTATGCGTAACGGCGCGCGTTGCATTATGGGACGTTTCCCCACTAAAGGGAAAGTTTTCCCGCTAAATTTAGAGGAAAATATTTTCCGCTAAATGAAAGACGATTACAAGTCTCCCGCTAAGTTGAGCGGGAGACTTTCCCGCTAAACTTAGCAGGAAAACCTTTCCTGCTAAATTTAGCGCGAAAATTTTTTCGCTAAAGTTACAGAGGAAATTTTCCCGCTAAGCTTAGCGGGGAATTTTTTCCGCTATATTTAGCGGGTAAATGTTACCGCTATATTTAGCTGGTAAATGTTACCGCTAAATTTAGCAAGAATATTTTCGCAAAATTTAGAGGGAAATTTAGCGAAAATTTCCCGCGAAATGGGATAGGACCAGGAGAGGAGGAGGGGAGGGTACGGAGGGGGAGCAGGGACATAACCTCCCCTCCTCCTCCTCAAGAGCTGCGCTCTAATCACGGTGTAAGATACACTCTTTAGGTGAGGACACGGCGGGGCTGAACGCGCGGTGTGAGGAATCAGATAGTGTTCGTTCGACGGGTATCCGAAAGGCTACATTATTCCGCGGTCACCGTGCCCCCGGCTGACAGTGTCGCCGGCGGCCAAACGGCGAAACTGTGTGAGAACGAAAAAAATTATCTCGTTGCCAAGACACCCCGGTACACCGTGCTCTTTCTGCACGAGCGACAACCTCGCTGGAGCTCTGTGCGTGAGGAGCATGAGGCGGCACGAGCAGTCTTTGCCGTGCCCACTAGGGTTCCCTTATAGACCTTTCCAGAAAAGGGCTGCTGGCCGGTTTCATTTTTAATGTTCGTGCGTAGCGCGCGTGATTTGCTCGCTTTCCGAAGCGACGCACACGCGCGTGCTGAGCTGTGGAGATCGCACGCTGAGCTGTGGATTTGTAAACATTGGAAAGGTCTATAGGCTCCCTACGGGAGCCAGAGTTGCGCGTTTGATTCTACGTGCCGCGTGCCGCCCTCGCCGCTATTCGCCGAGATCCGATCACGTGAGGAGCCGTATCAAGTGTCGTGCAGCAAAGTAGACGTTGCACGCGCCCCGGCGTACGTTCCCCGGCTTTTGAGTGCGCCGCGCGCCGAATTCAGTCACGTGAGGAGCTGTATCCACATGCCATGCATGAACGCGCAACTCTGGCTCCCGTAGGGAGCCTATACAGGAACTCTAGTGCTTACGGGTCGACGAGTCATCTGCCGGCGCCGCTTGAAACCATAGTGAGAGAGGTTATAGACGTTCGTTTCCTTTAACAAACCTTGGTTGAAATGACGAGCCTGTGGGCTCGTCGATGCTGGCATGAACGTTCGGAATTGTTGTTGTTGTTGTCGTTGGCCTATGAAAGTGTTGGCGCACGACCGGCTTTATAGGGGCGACCTGCTCACTCCGCGTGTCCCAATAGGAGCGCGCGCGCCAAGAAATATCACGTGAACGGCTTGGAGGGACCGAGTGTTCTGCTTGGCGCCGCCCTAGCTCGCCACCAAAAGCGCGGCGGCCGCTATGGAAGGCAACGGGTGCGTGTTGAAATAACGTTGGTTTCGGATGAGTTCTGTCACATTTAATAGGCAGGCGCTAATGCTAGCACATAGTGTGTATAAACTACGGTAAAAGGAGTCACTATATCATAGTTTTCTCCAGCAGAATAATTAGTATTGTGAGCTAAGCATCTATAGGGTGTACGAGTGTACAGGATGGTGCATCCAGTCCGCCTTCTGGAGTCCACTCCCGGGATCGGAATAAAATATCGAGTTAGGTGCTCCGCTGGTGGGCCGTGACGCCCCTTAGTGAACATTCGAAGTGAGACACTGTCGATTGGTGGTGACCTGCTGACTGGCCCGGGGGGGGGGGGGGGGGGGGGAGCAGACCACCAGTGCGATTACGCCCTAGGGAAGAGGCAAACGGAAGCGAGGAGTCCGCGGTAGCAGAAAAGTGGCTAGGAGCCGCGTGGTCGCTACTTAAGGACAATGTCGCAGCGGGTCCCTGCAACTGAACGGAGGAGGTGCAGTGTTCGATAGGACGGTGTTCGGGGGCCAAGTTGGCACTAGAATAAGGTGGGAAGCGCGACGTTGCACCGACTCGAGGGAGGCAACAAGTTGCCTGGTTGCCGATTCCCCCACCGAGCAGCAAAACTCCAGGATGGGCAACACCAGCGCTGTGAACAGCAATCTGGGCACATCGCGACTGGCTCTTCTTGTGGACCGAATGACGAAGCCAAGGAGTCCCCTTTCCCCGGACACGACGTTTTAGATGTAGCGATGGAAATCGAAATGCTGGTCGATGATGACACCTAGGA